CAGTTGTAGACACTACGTTTTGCCCAGGTTTCTTATTTGTTTACATGGTTTATTTAATAATATTATTTGGTTTATTAAATTATATATGTTTTAATTTTAATTGATAAAATTGGTAATTGTTAATGTAATTATGTTTTAGGTTAGTGTTAGTATATTAATAGGTTAGTGTTAGTATATAAAGTATATGTTAAACTGATTGTTTTTTTTTAATTTTTTTATATAGGTTACAATGGATGACCCAACTAATTACAAGACCCTAACGGGCTAGTAACCCAAACAACATGCCCAACTTGTAACCCAACATAGCTAGGGTTTTGTCATGTTCCCCAGTCGCTGCCTTGCTCCCAGCCGTTGTATCTATGCTTGATCCAATGACCCATATAAGAAGGGAAATAGGGTTTTACCCTACCCAAGACCTGTTGCATAGCCACCATTGTCAACTTCTGCCACTGCTTCCGCCTAGGCCAAATCACGTTGACGTTGTTGTTTCAGCCAGCCATCAACATGTCAATCAAACAAAAAGTCCAAAATCAGTAAAAAAATATTATATATTACTTAGATAAAATAAGGAAGATCAAATCCGAGACTGTAAATCATAAAAAAATAAAGTAATACTACATTATCTTCTCGGTAACACAAAAGCAGAGCATCAAAATATAACATGCAAAGCACTATTCGAACAAGGAGAAAAATTTGGAACCAGATTCAAAACATAGAGAGAGGAGCCGAAGAGAGCCATTTTCAAAAGGAAAAAAATAGAGTGAACTGAGAGGGAAAAACACAAAAACATTCTAAACAAAAGGGAAAGGAAAAAAAAGGAAAACCTTACCATGTTCAAAGCTCGCCCGAAAGTCCAAAGGTCACAGGAGTTGTGAAGATTTCGAGAGGTATAATAGGAGATCTATGCATTTTCGTTGGATTTTAGGAAATATGGGACTTGGATTTGATCTAAGGAAGATAAAAGGAGCATTTTGATGGTGTTCGATTCCCTTCCGGTCATCGTGGACGACGGTGGAGGCTACCGACGAGTGACAACCGTCTCCTCCGGTGAAGGGAACTTGCGAGAGTTTATGAATTCTCGCACTCTTACTTTGAAACAAATGGAAAATGAGAAAGGCTTAGAAAAATAAGCATTAGTTTAGGATTATATATCAAACCCAAAACGACATAGTTTCACATTCATTTTACCCATGTTTTTTAACTTTTAGAGGTAAATTGTAGTTTTGGTCATTCGTTCCTTGTATCATTCTGTTTTAGTCATAAATTAACGGGGATATTGTTGATTTCAAATCTTCAATGTTTCCATTTTTATATTTTAGTCATCATGCATCATTTAAATATTATGGTCAAATGTCTGATTTGGGTTGATAATTTAAGATTTGTTCCATTTTAGTTCATTTGTTCGTATTACATTAGAAATTGCTATATTTATGCTATTGATCCTTATAGCTTGTTTAATATTCATTTCAATCACCATTCATGTTTAATTATTTAATGGAATATTAAGGCTAAGTATACCAATATCACCTTGCAACTTTTTATTGTGTCAATTTAGTCCTTGTATCATATTTGTATATATGAATATGTTAGTTTCACGTGATTTTATATTTTATTATTTGAATATATTTGTATTATTTTTTATGTTATTAAATAGGAATGCTTTATATTTCCTTATGAGATATTAATATATATATGGTATATGTGAATGAATATGTTCTTGATCTTTGGTGTGTATTTCCTATTTTAAATTATTTTGACTTCCTGTTAAATCTGTTTTCCTATTTGAATGCATAGATTTTAGGTCAAATATGTATATATATATATATATATATATATATATATATACTTTTCCTTTCACACTTAGTTTCATGTAGTCATATCCTAGGTCTATTTGTTTATTCTTGTGTATAAGATGGTAGTATATTATTATTACTTTAGCGATATTTAATTTTTTTAAATATAGAGTAGGAAATATGTAATATATTTATATATGTATCTTTGAGAAATTTTTTGTATGTGTTTATATATTAATAAAAAGGATATTTGTTTAGTGTTGTATTGGGAAATTTGTTTTGTTATTTTAATATTATAAAATGATATAATATTCTTTTTTGTTAATTATTATACTAACCTATGGAAGACCTCCAAACACTTGGGGTGTCTTCCAAGGGTTAGTCGAATAAAATAAAATTTAGCATTATTAGTTGTTGATTATTAAGTTAATTAAATATATATTTTATTAATTTTAAATAATTTTTTTATATATATTATTTTTTGAAATATTTTTTATGTATTATGTTTTACATAATTATTTTAATAAATATAAATATAAATGTTTATTTTTATTTATTTCATGTATTTATTTATTTACCTTTGTTTAGATATTTTGTTTTTTTACCACTATTTAGTTCTATTATATTTTATTGATATTGCATTCATCTTTCATATGTTATTTATTACTTATGCATTCATATGTCATACATTTGTTTTCTCGTTTTCTGAAAATTTAACGGCAACGTTGTCTTGCGTCGTAGGTTAACGAAATTACGTACAACATAATTGGATTTCAATTTCTGTTAATTCACGTAGTAAAGGAACACCCTTTTTAAATAAAACCGAGTGAATTAAATCACCTTTTATTGAGTCAAGTATTTTATAAATAAATTCACTCTTTTCAAAATTCTTAAGAAGTTAAAAGGATTGTAACTTTTTAAATTCAAATATGTAAATTCTATCGTTTTAGACAATGTATAATCGAGGGTACTAATTTTGGGCATTATGGTGTTGCTCATCCTTCCTCACAAGTAATTGACTCTTGGATCCATAAAAAATAAATTTTTGGTAACACGCAAACCAATTTTTGTCTTTAAAATAATTTTCCTTAAAATTGTTTTAAAAGACAATTTTAGGTATTCGACCTACCTAATCTAAAGGTCGATGATGACTCTAAATTTTAAGTTAAATCAAAATTTAAAATTTCCAATATAAATTCATAATTATTTTAGATTTTAATAAAAAAAATGGTTATGACAATTATTTATTAATAGAAGCCACTAGTAATATTAAAAAGTTAAAACATCCAAAATTACAATAAGATTTTACAATAATCATTGTACACTAAATACATAATTTGGACTTTTCCTATAACATTGAAACTTGTCACTTTAGAACATATAAAAACCATACATGAAAAATATTAAAACTCAATCAAAAGACTCGAACAAAAATAGATACGATTAAATCTTATTGCATCAGCTATCGAACCATAAAAAGAAATTAAGCTATTGAAAGACCACCGCAAACTGCAAATCAGAGTTGAGTGTCATGAGAAACTATTCACAAACATAGAATCACACATCCAAATTCAATCCGAAGGTCTATAGTAGGGAAGATCAACAAGATTTCAAATAAGCGCCATCTTGATTATTCATGGTGTCATCAAGTCTAACCCCAAGAAAACATAAATAAAAGAACGACCAAATGACCGAGAAAAAAAATGAAAAATGTGCCACAAATACAGAGATAAATATTTCACAAAGACATAATTATTCTTATTAAAAAAAAGAGCCTATGATCGACAATTAGCATCAAAATCAATGTCGTCGTCGGCTAAATAAAATCAGAAGAAAAATTTAATCTGACCTATAAAAAACGACACAAACTCAAAGCAAAAAAAGGAAGGGGAATAGGAGATTGACTAAATATTATTAAATATTTTTGTTGTTAAAAGTTTTAAATTCAAATAATCATATTTTTTTGGTATAATCACCGATATTTAATCTATTGATCGATTAATCCGGATCGGGTACTACAGAGGCAAGGGTTGATTTGACATTACCACGACTGATCAAGATGACACATATATGATAATTTGTTGATCTTCCCTACTTTGGACCCTCAAATTAAATTTTGATACCTGATTTGCATTCGTGAATAGCTTTTCACGTCGCTTAAGCCTGAATTACAATTTGTCGATGGTTTTCAATAGCTTTATTCCTTTTCGTGGTTTGTTTACCGATGCGATCAGATCTGTTTGCATCTATCTTTGTTTGAGTTTCTTGGTTAAATTTGTATTCTTTCATTGTATAGTCCTCATGTGATATTAAGTTATTAGTTTCGTTCAAATAATTATAAAAAAATATTCTAATTATGTGTTTAATTTACGATTGTGATTATAAATTTTTATTGTAATTTGATATATTTTCTCTTTTGAATAAAATTAATTGTTTATATATATATATATAAAACAATTAGTGCACCATTTGACTTTAACCCAATACTATTTATAAAAATGATAATTGATGTTTTAAAGAATAATTCCACCCCATATGATAGAGATCATATAAAATATATACAAGGAATAATCTTGTACAACCATTTACGCGGAACATCTTTGTTATGCCTTGTAGATTACTCCAAGTGGGACATTGTATCTTGACTTTCGTTTGCTATGAATAGAATTTAGTACTTTAGGATTTGTTTGATACGCAAAATAAACACGAAAAAGTTGTCGATCTAATACTTAACCATTTTATATGCAAATAAATTTCTCTCGTATGTTCCGCTTTATTCGGTAAATTTTAAAGAAAAAATATTTAAGATTTTATGATATTTATTAACATAATCATATTTTATTATATTTATTATGTTTAATTGATGAGTCTGAATAAAAAATATATTTTAAAAAATTTAATTTTTTATAATTATCAATATACAGTTTGTTGATTGATTTAACTGTATTAAATATCAAAAAACTACTATAGAATGATTTCTTAAGTCAATTTATTTTATTTTTAATATTAAAATTCGAACATTCGATTTTATTTAGATATATATATATATATATTTTAATTTTAAAAATATTTTAATCTCAATTCCCTAATAATAGTTTAAAATTCCTAAAATGGCACAATTGGGTTTATATGGTTATGCCGTGTTGGGCAGAGGCAGAGAGAAATGGAGAGAGAGTAAAAGCAGAATCGGAATGAAAGAGCAAAGTCAAACATGTGTTAAAAGTAATTCGTGTCGGATAAGTAGAAGGATCCCCTTCCTCGACTAAATCATCATATCAGATCGTCTATATCCAAGCACTTGATTCCTTCTTTCACAAAAAAAGAAAAAAAATCTTCAAAATGTTATGCTCTTGACGACTTCACCCAGCGGCGGCAAGCAAGGCCATACTTTGGCCTTTTAATTGATCCTTGTTAGGGTGATTCTTTATTAACGCTTTTTGCTCTTATTTTTTGTGGTTTTTAGGGTTATAGTTTTGAGGGCTTTTCTTTAATGCTTTCGGGTTCTGATGCTTCAGGCTCTTAGTTTGGATAGCAGGTGACGTACAATTTGACGCTGAAGGGAAATTACTTTGGAAAATTAGAGGTTTTGAACAATTTTATTTTCTATGGATCGGTTGTGCTGCTTTAGTTCATCTCAGGTAAAGCATATTTCTATCTTGAAGGTTTTTCACGGCGATCCCATATTTGTTGGGTAAATGATAATTAATTATGATTGTTTATGGACTGGTCTGTGGGTAATATTGAGGCTACTTTAATTGATTTCCGTAATTTTCTTGTGTTAGCTAATTGGGAGTTATGAATTTTGTTGCTGGGGCAAGGTATACTGTGATTAGAATTGAATAAATCTGCTGCTTATGGAGAAGATTTGGTCATTTCATGTTTGGTTTGTTTTGGGGTTACTAGCATTTTTCATAAGGACTTCCTAATAACGAGCTTTACATCATTGAAACATTCTTAATGTATTTTTCACTGTAAGATAAACACTGCTAACTTTTTTTAGCTGTAAAAAGAAAATAATGTTTCTAACTTGGTAACCATTGCTTTGGATGAGTGTTAAACTTTGGTGGTTAGTGCAACATGTTTGATGGTTCTGAAAACTGGATTAGTATGAGGTTGCTTTTGTTTCCAATAAGCAATGTGGCTATGTTTGGTTCACAATGAGATTTATTGTTCTTATTTTATCCTTTCAGCTTGGAGGAGGGCGTTCATATTCAAGTTCTGGTAAGGGGAAAAGCCGTGAGGGTATGATAAAGTTCGGTTTCAGCCTAGTAAAAGGGAAAGCTAATCATCCTATGGAGGATTATCATGTTGCTAAGTTCAGGCAGATTCATGAGCATGAGTTAGGGCTTTTCGCTATCTACGATGGTCATTTGGGAGATGGTATTCCTTCCTACCTACAGAAGCATTTGTTTGCCAATATTCTAAAGGAGGTGAGATGTGCCATATCATTTTTAGAGGGGCAATTACATAAATTGGTTTATTATTTTTAAGACAATATATGCTCACATTTTTTCACTTATTGTAGGAAGAGTTTTGGGTTGACCCCTCCAGAGCCATCTCCAAAGGTTATGAGAAAACAGACCAAGCAATTCTTTCACATAGCTTAGACTTGGGTCGTGGCGGATCCACTGCTGTAACTGCAATACTGATAAACGGAATAAGGTTATGGGTGGCAAATGTTGGAGATTCTCGTGCAGTTCTTTCAAGAGGGGGTCAGGCAATTCAGATGAGCACAGATCATGAACCCAACACTGAACGAGGCAGCATTGAGAACAGAGGTGGATTTGTCTCAAATATGCCAGGTCTTTTACTGCAGCCAATTTTTAGAAGTTAATTCTTTGCGCCTGTGCACGTCTAGTCACAAAGTCAACGAATATTTTTGGCTAGACAGTTGAGTAGTCAAGACCCAAGCCTGCTGATTATTTTTAAGTGTTTTTGCAGCTTCTAATTCGTAACACTTTTGTGTCAGAAGTTCATAAAATAGCTTATTTCAACTTTACTATGTAGTATGTACTAATTTCCTGATCTGTTCAGTTCCTGATAAGCAAATGCTCTTTTATGTAGTATATACTCATGTCCATGTAGTTTCATTCCCCAATAAGACATCGGCTGTCAGTTAGTTAATCTATTTATCAAGAATGGATCAATTATTACATTGAAAGGATTATGTTGCAATCACCCTTATTAGTGTGCACTCCTCTTTGTGGATTAAGTTGAAGAAAGCCTGGTGTAAATGCTGATGGAGGCAAATGTTCGATTATTGGTTGAATTTCTTGGTATTAGGAAAGTATTATTTAGCATGTTTAATCATTTAGCTGATTAAAGTGTTTTCCTTTCCTTTTTCACATGTCAAGCACTGGTGAAATTCTGCACTCTGTTTTACTTTTCTGTTCCTTGTTTTATAACAACTTAAGGGTCTCTTAAGGCATGTCTTTCTGTTGGTTGTGAAGTAAAAAAATGCACCGGGCAAGCATACAGTGAAGCCATAAAAATATACCTTTGCTGGAAAAATCTAGATTATGGGTTTCCTTTGCCTTCAAAATCTTGATCTTGCCAACTGAAAAGGAAACTGCCAGCCACCATTATCTTGTTTATGCTTTCTTTGTTTTGTTCCGTGTTTGTTGGCCTTGGAAATACATGCTCAAGACACCAAGAGAAAAGCCGAGGCCTGAAAACATTAGTTCTGCTAATTATCCGTTGAGGTTTCTACCATTGATTTATGTAAATGCATCATTTTCCATGTGTAAAATATGACCCTGAATATCGTAATACCATTTCTTAGCTTTTGTATGTTGTCATATTCATGTTAATTGAGAAGAAAAAAAAAGGGCTGGGAGGGTGGTCTGATGTAGATGACATTTTTAAATCTGTTGTTTTTGTATGCTGTCAGGAGATGTCCCCAGAGTTAATGGACAACTGGCAGTTTCACGTGCTTTCGGGGACAAGAGCCTTAAATCACATCTGCGATCAGATCCGGACATTCAAAACACCAATTTAGATGACAATACAGATATTTTAATCCTTGCAAGTGATGGCCTTTGGAAGGTAAAACCTTTTGCTTTGACGTCTCCTCATTTTGATACATCTTTATTATTTTGTGCAAACATAAAGAATCGCTCAGGAATGCATGATTTGAACGTAGTTATCTATGATTTATTTATTTATTTATTTATTTTCATTTTCTATATTCTTAATTCAGGTGATGAGTAATCAGGAGGCCGTTGATATTGCAAGAAAGATTAAAGACCCACTGAAGGCTGCAAAACAACTAATCGCTGAAGCAGTTCATAGGGACAGTAAAGACGACATATCTTGCATCGTCCTTAGGTTTAGGGGATAGAATTGGTTAACTCATAGATCACATTGCACTTTGTTTGCAGTATATACCTGAAATAAGAGTTTGTTTACACAAGATGCCAGTTTGTGGATTAAACCAACATGAAAATACATACCTGCATGGGGTTATCCTTCAAGTTCTACGGGGATCGACTATAGCAGATTACGTATTAGTCAAGAAACCAAAAATGTAGGATTCACCCCATGTAAATTCGTTTTATAAATTAGGTTCAGATGTTTGATTTGTTTAGGAAGGTGATTAGGAATTGAGTGTATATTGTTGTGTATAGATGAAGTTGATTTTGATGGTGTGGCTTAATGTAGTTACCATGAACGACTTATACCATTTTCGTTTGAAGCAGGCCCTTCCATGACCGGGATGCATGCTGTGGAGATATCTTCTTTTAACCCCGAAATGGCATGAAAAACAATCTTTTCTCGAGACCTTTGCTTCCATTTTTACTTCAATCTATTTATAATAGAAAACTAAAATCGGGGCTGCAACAAATATCAATATGTTAGTGGTAAAAGGATTAGTCTACGTTTTCAATTTATAATATTTTCATGATTAAATGCCAAAATAAGTGTTACAAATATATTAAAAAATTAATTTAGGGTGTTCAAAGAATTTTTTGTTAAAAATAATTTGTTAAAAATAGTTGTCTACATCGTAGCGATGTAAACGTTATTAAAAAAATCGTTAAGTGATATATGTCATATTTATATATAGTACATTTTTTTATTAAAAAAATTATTTAAGAAAACCCATTTTTTTTCTAAAATTATAAAAAGTCTCAAAATACTCTAAACTCAAACCAAAACCCTTAAAATCGTTCCTATTGCTGACCACCACTAATTTGTCACCGACAATCGGAACCCCAATGTTATTAATCGGTTAAAATCCTAAATTTAATGGGGGAATTTAGATGTGATTTAGGGGTTTCTATTTGAATTTGGAGTTTTGCTTAAAGACATGATGAAAAATCCTTTTTTCTTCCTAAAATCTTTAATCCATAATAAATCTCTTATTTAGATTGTAGTTTTACTCTCCCTTTCACTCCATTTTTTTAGCTTAGTGATTTGTGATCTTGTTATGAACTTAGATAGATTTAGGTTAAGAAGAAGAAGAATTTGAGAGAATAGAAAGGAAATTCAAAGTAAATAGTATTTCATCATCAAAATCATAATGCATCAGATAATATAATTGCCTATTTATAAACTGTATGGTTGTTATTTGCACAGCTTTATATGCCTAGCTGGATAACCGTTGTCACCTCTTAGACTAGTCTTCATTTGGGTCTACTCTCCATTGGGCCTGCCTGCAATAATTCTCTTAGAGACGTATCTCGGTAATTTTTACTCGATACCGTAGACAGGCTAATTATTTTTTTTCAATACGGCATTCAGATGTTTTATTTTAGGAAGTACCACATTTGTAACAATGACTTAGAACTCGTCACGGGGGTGTGACGAGTTTCAATAAAATATATTTTGTTATTGAAACTTGTCACTCCGACGTGATATCTAATAAAAATTATATTTTATTAGAACTAGTCACTTCAACGTGACGAGTTTAAATCAAAAATATTATTTGAAAAAACTCGTCATATAGGTGTGACGAGTTTGTCCTGTACAGTAGCATTTGTCGTAGATCCCAAATTAATTTTGAAGATGACCTAATTGACTAATTTTTTTACCCACGTAACCTATTAGGCCAATTTTGATGACATATCTCCCCATCAACGCTTTAGAAATTTTCCTAAGCCATTAACCTTCAACTATTCTAACTTCACTTTCCCAATTCAGGTCTCCAATCCCTAATTTTATTTTGTTCTTCCCCTTTTCATTCAAATCCCTAATTTCCCCTCCATGCTTGTGACAATATCCTCCCTGCAGTCGAGCCTTGTCCCCAAGGATCAAAATCTAGAAATCGGGACTGCAAAATTTTAAAAGCCTCTCAAGTTGTATCTTCTCTGCCCAAGTTCGACCATTGAACTAACAGTTGTGTGAATGTCCTATTATTGTGTTTAATCATCCGTTTGTCAAAAATGACGGCTGGGTAGACCTTCAGCTGACCATCATTGTGTAACACCCTAAACTCAATATGTCAACACTAGGCTTAAAGTGTCAGATTTAGACAAATAATGATCCAAAATCCATAAAATAAAAAATTTGTTAACTTAAAGCTTCTTTAAAAAATATATTTCAAATAAAAATACAAAACGCTTGACAATTGAGATAGTTTGTATCCAAATTACGAAGCTCTGACCCTTTCATGATCCATAAAATATATATAGTAGTTCAAAAAAAAAAAAGCCAGGCATTAGAGTGAATACATATATACAACCACAAGTACACATGGAATGCACATGCCCCCTAATAGAATTTAGAACTTTACTCTGGTAATCGAGATGCTGGAATTCCTTAACAACGGTGCTCCATGGATCTACTATCAGCTTATCAGGATCTTAAAAATGGTAAATAACTAAAGTATGAGCTACAAGAGCCTAGTAATGTATGACTATTCAAAAGAAACTCATATAACCATAAATTTAGAATGTAAGTAGAATATGTTACACAAACATCATTCAAAATTTCTAATCGTGCTTATAGTATTATATTCTCGAGCTTTCTTTAACCTTATCAAGTTTACTAGTCATCCCTTATTTATCTCATTTCTCGATGATATCATGGATCTCTTACCAAGGTATACCTCTTATTCTTGTTTATAATTGGGTGTGTATCACGTACAATACATCACCTTGCTTGTAATTGGGTGTGTATCCCATATAATATATCACCACTTTCATATTTAGGTGTGTTCCCCATACAATACATCACATTTCTTGTAATTGGGTGTGTATCTCGTATAATATATCACCACTTTCATATTTAGGTGTGTACCCTGTACAATACATCACATTGCTTATAATTGGGTGTGTATCTTGTACAATACATCACCGCTTTAATATTTAGAAGTGTACGATACATCACCTTGCTTGTAATTTAAAAATATGGTTTGCAACCTAAAATCTGGATTGCAACTTAAAAATCAGGCTTCAACCTTAAAAATTCAGGTTTCCAACTTAAAAATCAGATTCAAACCTAAAAATTCAGGTTCCAACCTAAAAATTCAGGTTTCCAACTTAAAAATCCAAGTTTCCAACTTAAAAATCAGGTTTCATCCTAATTTCAATATTAAACTCATAACAGACTTACGTTGATGAAACTTAGCATATATAATCCTCATTTACAGCATCAAAAATTGGCATTTCCATATCTAAAACCCCAAAACATATCACTAATCACGTACAATATGCTTCCAACTCACTAATATAAATATTATGGTTCACATGGGTTCTCAAAGAATAGAAACACATTACCATAGCTTTGGTCACTAAAAAGAAAGCTCCTTACTTCATTATTCAAGCTTTATCATTCCCTTTAGATTGATAAGGTTCTCTTATTCCCTCACTAAAATGGAATCATCAATTAATACACATATAAGAATACTAAAGAATAATAAACAAGAATTAAACACTTCCACTATTTTAAAGCTCCTTCACTCTTTCCCTTTTTCATCTAAACCCATCAAATCCTATATGGGTACTACTCCCAAAACATGGAGATCCACTACTTATAATAAAGCTTAATCCACGAGGAAATTGAACCTTACTTTCGTAATGTATTTCTATGGCTATGTGGTTACAAATAAGAGAAATATAAGAATATGGAAAAATAAAAGAGAAAAAGAAAAATGAAGATGATAGAGATGATGATGAATGTTTTCTCTCCCTCACATTCTTCTTAAAAAAACCCACGGTTACCTCATTTTCTATAGGCGATGTTGAGATGCTAGATTCTCTAACTCGACTATAGGTCTTTCACTTCAGGTAGATCCATATTCCCCTTGAGGTCTTTCAATTATGATGGATTGACTGTCTACCCCTGGTATTAATATGATGACACCCATTAGAGGAGTGCCAGTTTCTAGGATCAAGTCTGCAAGACTTGTGATAGATGAGACTCTTAGTGAATAGTTTCTTCAACTGATTCAGGGTACAGTCAGAGCAGTAGGCGCTACACCGAAAGTCACTATCACGTAGACCATGATTGTTAATAGGGTTAGGACGTTTAAAGGCCTAACTAGTATAACTCTTATTGAAGATGAGGTTGGCTTTACGATACTGAGAGACAAGTAGACCAATTAGGTTTAGATCCATCGAGGATATATTTAGGAGTTGTCTCTATATTGGATGAGAATATCCACACCTAGTGGGAGTCTATAGTGAGTAATATTCCTGCCAACCGTCTGACGTGGGATTTCTTCAAGAAGCACTTCAAGAATCGTTTCCATAGAGAGCGATATTTGGCAGAGAGATGACAGTAGTTTCAGGACCTGATTCAAGGAGATATGACGATTTTCAAGTACAATATAGAATTATTGAAGCTGTTAAAGTATGGTTATAGTTTGCTTCCTACTAAGATAGATATGTGCCACAAGTTTGCTCGGTGACTCAGATATGAGCTATATATATATATATATATATATATATAACCCATCAGGATGAGGCATTCGATGTTCTAGCGGGGAGAGTGAAAAATACTGAAGAGGTTAAAGACTTGGCTCATGTTACTAACTCTGTAGTCTGAGAGCGCTCTAAGAGGTCTTATGGCCCAAATAAGTCTTTCGTACATTCGGGAAAGATGACTCGTACTGATGCTCTTTGGAGGAATAATACAGGTTCTAATCCTATAACACTCCCAACCCCAGTAGTTTAGTCAAGGCGATTCACCAAGTTTCTCTCATTTTTCTGTATGCGAGTTTTATAGAAATCATCATGAGGAAAAATGTTGAAAGAAGACAAATTCTTGTTATTTTTGTGGATCCATTATTCACTTTTTGAGAAATTACCCCATCCAGCTTCTACAGAGCGGACATCCACCCATGGTCATACACGTTCAAAGGCTTTTATTTAGACCCTAGCTAGAGATCATAGCCAAGGGAAAACTTCTGGATCTATTTTCAAGGCCGGTAGTAGAGCATGTTCATAACAGAGTAGAGGGCTAGTGGTATCTAAGGTTAGACAACCAACACTTGTGTATGCTACCAGACATTGGGATGATAGAGATGAACTAGACGCTATCTTAGGAACATTTTTCTATTTATTTTGTTTCATACTTTGCATTGCTAGAAAACGGCTCCATTCACTCCTATGTTTTGAGTTTCATATGTCGAGACCTTCGTATTTTGATCGAGGACATCAAGAGTGTT